GGCTGTCCACTTTCTCCATACCTTTTCAATATTGTCCTTGAAGTTCTAGCTAGAGCAATATGACAACAAAAGATCAAGGGGATACAAATTGGAAAGGAAGAGGTCAAACTTTCATTATTTGCAGATGATATGATGGTTTATATAAGTGACCCAAAAAACTCTACCAGGGAACTCCTACAGCTGATAAATACCTCCAGCAAAGTGGCAGGATACAAGATCAACACAAGAAAATCATTAGCCCTACTATATACAGACGATAAAAGGGCTGAGAAAGAAATCAGAGAAACATTGCCCTTTATAATAGCCATGAACAACATTAAATACCTTGGGGGTAAAGCTAACCAAACAAGTGAAAGACCTGTATCGCAAGAACTTTGACTCTTTAAAGAAAGAAATTAAAGAAGCCACCAGAAAATGAAAAGATCTCTCATGCTCTTGGGTAGGTAGGATCAACATAGTTAAAAATGGCAATCTTACGGAAAGCAATATACAGATTTAAGGCAATCCCCATTAAAATCCCAGCACAGACCTTGAAAGAACAATTCTCAACTTTATATGGAAAAACAAAAGACCCAGGATAGCCAAAACAACCCTGTTCAACAAGGCAACATCCGGAGGCATCACCATCCTTGACTTCAAGCTGTATTACGGAGCTATAATCCTTAAAACAGCTTGATATTAGCACAAAAATAAACAGATAGACCAATGGAATCGAATTGAATACCCCAACATTAACCCATACACGTATGAACACCTGATCTTTGACAAAGAAGCTAAAATTATACAATGGAAAAAAGAAATCATCTTCAATAAATGGTGCTGGCATAACTGGAGAGTGACATGTAGAAGACTGTAGATAGATCCATGTCTATCACCATGCACAAAGCTTAAATCCAAATAGATCAAAGACCTCAACATAAATCCAGCCACACTGAACCTCTTAGAAGAGAAAGTGGGAGGTACCCTTGAACGAATTGGTACAGGAGACTGCTTCATGAACATAACACCAGTAGCACAGACACTAAGATTGACAATTAATAAATGGGACCTCCTGAAACCGAGAAGCTTCTGTAAGGCAAAGGACACAGTCGTCAAGACGAAAAGGCAGCCCACAGGTTGGAAAAAGATATTCACCAACCCCACATCTGACAGAGGGCTGATCTCCAAAATTTACAAAGAACTCAAGAAGCAAGTCTCCAAAACACCAAAGGATCCAATCAAAAAATGGGGTACAGAACTAAATAGAGAATTCTCAATAGAGCAGTCTAAATGGCTGAGAGGCACTTAAGAAAGTACTCAATACCCCTAGCCATCCAGGAAATGCAAATCAAAACAACTCTGAGGTACCATCTTACTCCTGTCAGAACGGCTAAAATCAAAAATTCCAATGACAGTTTATGCTGGAGAGCATGTGGAGAAAGGGGAACACTCCTTCACTGCTGGTGGGAGTGCTGACTCATACAGCCACTTTGGAAATCAGTATGGAGATTCCTTAGGAGAATGGGAATCAGTCTACCATAAGACACAGCAATTCCACTCTTAGGCATATACCCCAAAGATGCACATTCATACAACAAGGATGTCTGTTCCACTATGTTCATAGCAGCATTGTTTGTAATAGATAGAACTTGGAAGCAACTTAGATGCCCCTCAACTGAAGAGTAGATAGAGAAAATGTGGTACATTTACATAATGGAGCACTATTCAGCAGAAAAAGCAATGGAATCTTGAAATTTGTGGGCAAATGGATGGCACTAGAAGAAACCATCCTGAGTGAGGTAACCCATTCACAAAAAGACAAACATGGTATGTACTCACTCATTTATGGATTTTAGACCTGAATCAGGGGGTTGCAGCCTACAGTCCCAGTGCCAGTGAGTCTGGGAAACAGAACCTTCATCCAGCGACTGATGGAAGCAGAGTCGGATACCCACAGATAAACACTGAACTGAACTCCTGGAATCAGTGACAGAAAGGGAGAACTGATGAGCAAAGGAGTTAAGACAGGGCTGGTTTAACCCACAGAAACAGTTGACCTGAACAAGGGGAACTCCTGGTCCCCAGATTGATGGCTGTGTGGAAAACATGGGACTGACCCAGACTCCCTGAATGTGGGTGTCAGTGAGGAGGCCTAGGTAATCTATGGGGCCTTGAGTAGTATTAATCCCTGGCATACAAATAGACTTTGAGTGTGCATCCTTTCTCAGCCTGGACTCTTGTGGGGGGGGCATACCCTGTCCTGGATGACCTGAGTGGAGGTTGGGTGGGGGCCTGGGGGGATGGTGGGGAGAGTGGGGGAGAAAGGAGGGAGAGGGAGCTGGAATTGACATGTGAAACAAGCTTGTTTCTAACTTAAATTAAATAAAAAAGGAAAGAAAAACAGTATTTGTTAAATGCTCTGCAATCCCTTTGACTTCCAACAGGGGGAACTAGCCAACTTTGTTCACTGTAATCCAGAAACTTGAGGCTTTATGGTTAGGATGAATGACTGTATTATCTTAAAGCTGTGAGTCACAGTTGATATTCACATACAGAATTTACTCATTTTAAGTACAAAATTCTCCCTATTCACACTTATGGTCGTGTCTTGTTCCCTTCCATTCTAAACACCTTGAATATATTAGGTGGTAGTTTTGAGAGGGTCTCAGTACGTAGCCCAAGGTAACTAAAACATATCATCATCCTTCCTCACCCTCTCTAGTGCTGAAATTACCTGTGTGTGCTCCCATGCCCAGGCTATACTGGAATTTTACTTCCCATTAGAATCCAGTGGGGGCACTTTATGGGACCTGCAAGCCACACGGTGAGGACAACATCCAATTTAGGCTATTTGAGCTCATAATTTGAATCAGGCTAGGAACATTATTGTTAGAACCGTGGATGCAAATCCCTGAAAAACAGCTGTGCCTACAGAGTAATCAATACTTCATAGATATGGAGAGGTTGGAATGTTGCAGTTACAGAGATGAATTACAAGTTATCTTAAAGGCTTGCCCCCTCTGTTACTAACACTACTACTAGCTAGACTTAGAATCCGGACCACAGGTTAAAAAAATCCTTTACTATGTATTAATTTAGCAAAACCTAGTTCTCTGTCTATCAAAGGGTTCAAAATGCCACCAGATGACTTCTGAGGTCTGTGATTGAAATCCCTCTGCCTGTCTAAGACAGCTCCCTGTTTCTATTTGTCTTTTAAATGCCTCAATTTATAACTCTCTTTGTTCTGTTACTATAAAAACTTCACAAAATTGCTTCCACCTTGAAGCACGAATTTGAGGAACCTGTAACTCTGTTTCTGGGAGTTAGTCATTCGAATTGGCTCCAAAGTAAACGATGTTTGATCCTCCCTTCGAGTCTACAGAAAACGAAGCAGTATCATCTCTTTCAGAGATTCTGAACAGTCAGTTGTCTTTGTCCAATTTGATATTGATGAGCTCTGTTCCTCCAAACACTGGACATTGCATCCCTGGAGTGAGGAGACATTGCATACAGTCTAAAATTATTCATTAAGACATCATTGGAAATTCATTTGATTAGTAAAAATATGACCATTCCATGCAAGTATATAAGACACAGCCAATATTTTCAATAGTTTTGAAAGCCGTTCACCAGCATACACTTGTCTTCTCACCAGCAATGTGAACAATTAACCTTGTTCAGAATGAGCGCCCCGGCTGGGTTTTGAAACAGAAATATTAGCCTCTAATGACAAAGTGTGAACTTGGTTTTTGTGAAGTGAAGGCTGGTCAGTGGTGTCCTGTGCTCTCAGGCACAGATCTTTTCAATGTTCTTTTGTTGTTGTTGTTTTTCGAGACAAGGTTTCTCTGTGTAACATTCCTGGCTGTCCTGGAACTCACTTTGTAGACCAAGCTGGTCTTGAACTCACTGAGATCTGTCTCCTTCTGTCTCCCAAGTGCTGGGATTAAAGACGTGTGCCAACACTGCCCGCATAGCTAAGCGCTTTCCATTTCTTTAAGACAACATAAGGTTTCAGAAGATCCCTTGGGTACAGGGTAAGAGGTGACAATTACGAATGTTTTGGTTGACCTGTCCCAGGCAACCATGGCGCTTGGCACTGAGAACTTTGTTTCTCTCGGTGCCACTCCTGGCTGTAGCCCCACCCTCCTGGCCACACCTGATTCTGTGGGGCCGAAGCTGGCTCAGGACGTTGGGGGAGGGGGGAGATCTCAGTTGCCGGTGTGTGCTGACATGTGGTTTTATTTGAAAAAAGAAAAATTGCGTGAAGTGGAATAGAACAGGGTCTAACAGGGTTAGATGTGTAGGGAGCGCACTAACTGGGGCAAAGGGAAGTCGTCCACGGGGAGCAGCAGGCAAAGCCTTCAAGTGTAAAGAAAGCATTCGTTCCATGAACTGTGTTCTACCATCAAAGTTTCTGAGCTCCCCCAATTGATCCAGACTGAAAGTTAGGCACCAAAGCCACCCAGACCCAGACATAGAGATGGCCTCAGGAGCCTGGAGCGCGCTGGCCGGCCCTGGCGGGTCACCCAGCGGGAAGGGCAGGCAGGCAAAGAGATGTGTGTCTAGGGCTGCAAGAGTCAAAGTCCAAAGGTGGATCCGGGCAGGAAGTGCAGCCTCTGCCTGTGGGAGCCAGGGACGAGGCTTCCAGATTTGAGCGCACAAGTCCTTACATTCTAGGGTCCATTATTTATTCACAGGCCATTGGGATGTCCCAGACAGGGTGCTTGGACCTCAGGTGTGGCCTTCGCCGTGCTCCCCACACTACCTGTGCACACAACTTAGGGCAGAGCTCAGGCTGGCGCTGGGGTGTCCACAGGTGTGCGTGCCGCGCTGGCGGCGATCGGGTGGGACTGCCAGCGGCGGGAGGGACAGGCACGCCCACCGTGGCGGTGAGCCCAGGGCTGGCCTGAGCTCCGCAGCCCGGGTGACCCGGCAGGTCGGGGCGGCGCGCTCTGAGTCACCGGAATCTAGGTGTGGCCCGCTCGCCGCGCCCCCGCCGCCAGCCCGGGGCCGCGTCCTCGCGGGAGCCGCCTCTTCCTTTAGTCGCGGTGTCCGCGCTCGCGGGGCCACTCTCCGCCGCCGCCACCCGTGCCCCTCGCTCCTCCGCTCCGCGCCGCCACCGACGACATGCTGCGCTGCGGCCTGGCCTGCGAGCGCTGCAGGTGGATCCTGCCCCTACTGCTGCTCAGCGCCATCGCCTTCGACATCATCGCGCTGTCCGGCCGCGGCTGGCTGCAGTCGAGCACCCACTTGCAGACGTCCTCGCTCTGGTGGCGATGCTTCGACGAGGGCGGCGGCAGCGGCTCCTACGATGATGGCTGCCAGAGCCTCATGGAATATGGTGAGTGGCCGCCACCTCCGGGAAGCCCTCGGGAGCCGCACCTGTGGCAGCCGCTGGGGCCTGTCCTATAGAGGTCAGGGGTAGTGGCTGCTTCAAAAGTCCGCCCAGCAGAGCTCAAACGCCAAAATCTGGCTTGAGTCAAATGAAGCAGCAGTTTGGGGTGACCCAAATCAGACTCAAACCTGAAAGCGCTATTAGCCCAACTCATTTAAAAATAAGGTTTGTCAGTCACCTGCGCAAGCGGATCAGAAAGTAAACGTTAAAATAACGTGCCAGGGGTGGATTCATTCGTTTCACTTCATGTAACTTAAACTTTTTTATTCTTCATGAGAAAGTCTTTTCAGGCAAAGTTGGAGCAGTTACGGATTCAATAGATACCTCAGGATCTTAGTGTCGAGCTCGTTCGTGTTCACTCTTGTTCTGAGGAAGTGTGACTGTTGAGGATCTTTATCTGAATCTGATTTAGAATCCGAGAAGTAAACACTGCACTCCAGTGGAGTGGTGTTGGCACTTTTAACACATGGCGGGTGGCCTCCATTGGCCTCTGCCGGTGTGCCTGTGCCGGGGGATCCCCGGTACTTGTTTTAACAGTCAGCAGCAGTTCTGGGGAAAAAGCATTCTTCTTCCTCAAGTGGATGTCCCTCGTGTTTAGGGTGCATGCAGTAGTGACGGGCTGTGTGTGCCAAGCAAGGGCTACTATAGCCAAAGCTTTAGCAATCAGCTTTATCCTTCTAAGCAGGAAGGAGCGAGTCACCTTTTCCCCATTCATTTTCTAGTTTCATCTTAACTTGACCCTTTTCCTGTAGCAGCCCACCCAGGCCTTCTACCAAGTACTGTTTGCCTTGGGTTCCTCATGTAGCTTATTCTCTCTGGAGGAACTTCCCCAGACAAGGAGGCAGGTAATAAAATGAGAAGACCAGCATTCCTGCTTTCCTTACTGCTTGTAAAGACAAAGACACAAACAACCTGGCCTGCAGAAGTTCCTGTTGCTACAAATCTTTTAGGCCCTTACAGGGAATGTGTTGCTTTGGTATGAATGCATTCAAACTCAGTCTCTTTCAGGGGACTTAAGAGGTGTGTGTGGAGGTTTTTAAAATAGACTTTGTTAATTATAGCTCACTCCAAGGCTGATAGAGCCCCCCCCAAAGAGTTTTCAGTAGTGGAATTCAGCTTGCAGAGGCAGGACCGGCATTCTTGCTGGGACATGATTTGGCCTGCAGGGCTGTCTTGAGAAACACACACAGTGCGGTTTCCATGTTTCTTGCCTTGTAAGGTGAGCTCATCTCTTAGGGTGTGCCTGCTAGAACCTCAGGCTGATGATGCACTACTATGTGAATCAAAGGGAAAAGGCAAGTTTTGTTTCTGGTTTGTTTAACTATGAGTCTGGGGCATTAACTTATTTTTCTGCTATAAGCAAACACACCTCCAGTGTATAGTTCGCTTCAGTTTGCCATAGAAACCAACCTTGGAAAACCTTAGTTTCCCAAAGGAATCTTGAAAAATCGGTTAGTACTTTCATGATGCAGTGCCTGGTTTTAACTGATAGGCGATAGGTGTTAAAACTATCCAACACCTCAGGGGAGTTTCTCTGTCACCTTTGCAGAGGTGAGTAAGTGCCCACAATGTGGTAGACAGCTCTTGCTCAGTGAAGATTGGCCTTTCTTGTCAGGCTGAGGAAGGAGACAAGATGACAGGTGAAGCCACCTGCAATGTCCCCATTTCCGCGTTATAGACAGAGATGAGTTAAAATATGAACTGCTAATTAGTTAACAGCATGACTGTAAAAACTGTAGGGTGATTATCTTGGCAGCCGAGAACTCTATAGATCTCCAAAGAGCTTCAATGGGACCTTGCTGAAAACAGTATGCTTTCAGGAGCTCACACCATGTGGAATGTAGGCACTTTCACAGTGTAGGAGTGCTGCATTTGGTATGGCAAGCAAGGTGGATGGGCCTGTTTAAAAACCCATATGCCTCTTCCTCTAAAATGCTTCTTAATGGCACTAGAAAATAACGTTTATTTGAAGCTCTTAACAAAACAGAGCCTTCATGATAAAGTATTTGATGACCATGCTTGCTGAGTGATAGTCATAACACTAATACATTTATTTTGGTTGTAAGAACGGATTATTGGCGATGCTGACAATAATACTAAAGATCACATGTTTTATAACTTTTTAGGAATAAATGAATATATAGCAATATTATATTCTTCATTATTGTTAAATTTTCAAGAATTATAGATTACAACGTCCTCTCATTTTGTTTCTAAATAAATAAACAAGCCAAGTTAGACCCTGAATATTTTGTGATGGTGGCAGCTAAATTGACATTTATCTTACAAATAGTTGTTTGAATTAAATGTTTTGGTTTATATTTGTCAGGAAGATGAGAATCTAAATTTACGATTAAAATGATTATCTGAGTTTCTCCTGGAAGCCCAACTCAGAATAAAACTTCACTGAGTATACATACAGTGCTTTTGTAATGCACTCTTTAGAGACTATTTCCACAGGGAGGTATTTTATACTTCAGCTCGCTGACTTCAGATCCCAGGCAAGCTCTGGCTTGTCAGGGTGGAGGACATGGGGATGAGCTATGTTCCAGAGGAGGCAGGGTGGTGCGAAGTCAGTGCCTGGAACTGACACTCTGAAGTACGAACCTCATTTTTACCAAAGATAACCCTTGCATCCCTGAGTGTGCACCCAGTGTTTCCCTTAGATACCACTTTCCCCAAAGTCAAAGAATCAGACTCTCCTATGAGATGTTAATGATCTTAAGCACCCTGGTTCATAAAAGTGCAGGACATAAGAAAAATAAGTTTGAACCAGCCATTCGCGTTAGACTAAATTCACCAGAAAAGCCTTCATTCTGAGATGATGCTCTTGCAGCTTTGGGGGTAATGTGCTGGGATGGGAGGGGTGGGGAAGTATGCTGGTGGGAGGGGGTAGGAGGCAAGCTGTTGGTGTTTTATGAAGTTAGATTAGCAGATAGATTTCATGTGCCTGTATGTACGCATGTTCACATTCTTAACAGTAAATTGAAGAGTCCCCCACTCCTTTGATGGAGTAACTTTAAAATGCACACTGATGTGTAAACCCTCTGTGTTTAATACCCATGGCACTGGCTAGTCTGCTGTCCGTCTGTTCTAGTAGCACCCCAGAGAACCTCAGTGCCTTGGGAGGGACTCCCGTTTGGCTCTGCCCCTAATAACACAGACTTCTGATCCTGTGGGATTAGACAGGAATTAAGGTGCTGGAGTTCCAGTTTTCGACAAAGCCCCATAATTAGTACCCATGACCAAGCTGTTTCCACACAACTATTTTGGTTCGTTTGGTCCACATGTAAAATCTATGAAGAATATACCAAATCCACGGGAAGCACTGATTTGGAGGTGGGGTGGAAAATCTATAGGTTTCCAAAACACTCACTTACAGATCAGGAATATCAGCAATATTTTCTCTTTTCCTTGGTTTCTTTCAAAGCATAGCACGTAGAAAACACACTTACGACATGCTCAGAATACATCCATGAAACAGCAAAGCGCTCTTCCTATGCAGAAACAAAGCAAACAAACAATTCCTACCCAGGAACGCTGTTTACTGGAGCCCTGCCTGCCTTTGTCCTGTCAGCCCAGAATGGTGGTAAAGTTTGGTGTGTAAAGTAGGAATGAAGGACCAACTTGCTCAGAACTGACAAGGATGCACTCGGCCTGCAAAGAGCTGTGAGCTATCAAATCACCAATGAGGAATGTTTTTTCCTCGGCGTTGGTAGCTGAGATGCAGTTGAATCATAGTATAATAGAAAAGAGAAATAGTTCCCAGAGACTTGTGTACATTATAGATATTACATGAGCAGCTCCTGGGCAGCTAAGTGAGATCAAAGGCGCCTGGACCACAGGTGTTTTAGCTTTTTAAAAAGCGTACATAGTGAGAAAGGGGGGCTGGAGCCTGCCTGGCCGACAGCACCCTTCTCAGACTGAACATTGTGTCTTGAGTCTTCTGCTCAGACCTGGTGAGCGCAGCCTCTCCATCCTAAAATAAAACCGCCTTTGACCTCAGAAGGTGTGCTGTCTTGCTTGGAGAAGTCTGTCCTGTATCACTAGGATCTTTAAAACCATGCCAAGATTTCAGTCTAAATGGTAGTTAAATGATTGAGTGTGGGTTTTGCCATGCAGCAAGGAGCAGGTTTTACGTGTTTTATGACTGGAGTGGCTTTTCTCAAGAGAAAATGTTGCTCAATTTGCCATTTGGATTTTCTTTAGACTCAGCAGTTTAAGTAAAGAAGACATTAGCTAATGGATCTAATAAGGAAAGCACCCCAGATGGTCCATTTGAAGTGCATGTTCACCCGTTGGTGTCAGATATGTATATTATTAGGTTGCTATTTCTTTTATGTAATTCTTTCCACGACCCAGAAATTAAGTGTGAGTGACACTACAGCTAAACATCAGAGGAAGAAGTCACAGCAGTCTGTGTTACTCTAGTTGTCCTCAGATGAACAGGTGAGATGAATATGGCAAGATTACACACAACTCATTTAGCTAGCTTTCACCGCAGCCAGTGATCATGGCAGTTCAGTTATTGAAATATGTTCCTTGTTAGGAAATGTTTCTGCTCTTAATTAAAATCAAATGCTGCTATCTGATGTACTGTTGTGTGTTTACATTCTCTGTGTGCTAGCCTTTCCTGACTTCACAGAGGGAAAGTATGTTTTGCTTTTTTTTAATATAACGATTATTGAAATCAATGGTTGTCAGTCGCTATATAAACAAAAAAACCAAACAGCTATGAGCTTTTGGGGGTAGCATTGCTTCCGTTTTAATAAAGCTTAGTCATCTACATTCTTATTCTCAGTCTTCAGGATGCTTACAGAGAAGGGGAATGGCAGAGAATAATGACAGGGGCAGGAGAAGGAACAATATTATATTTTTGTCTCATACACAGAGTCTAGATTTGATCCTGCCACCAGCCGTTCAAGCCTTGACCCAGGAGGTCTAGAGCCAGGCCTCCAAATCAGCATTTTAATAAACACCATTACTTAATATACTTAAGAAGATCTGATCAATTAAATTGTCTCCCAAAGCGTAGTCCTTTCTCATTTAAAAAATTTCCTTACACAAAAGACAAGACAAAAATGAGGAAAGAGACACTGAATTGTGTGTTGCAGCTTGGGCTTCATCCATGTATTTTTTTTAAATAAAATATTATTCTGTTAACCTCCCCCTAAAAACCTCTCACTGATCCAACAAGAAGAATAAGACTTGGGGAAAAGCTGTCAAGCTGGGTCCCACCTCCCTTGTCCCCACTGCTGAGGGGTCATTTGTGGGCAAACATGGTATTGGAAGACATATAAAGATGTTTGTTCTCCCTACTCATTTGTTATGCCCAGCCAGTCATGCCCCTGAGGAGGCCCTTCAGGGCACAAGGCAGACAGAGAAGGGAGTGAATGGGGAGCTTAGCCCACATTTATCTGTAGCAGATAAGGATAGGGAACTGGGTGATAGATGTCTTTAGAGATACTACAGAACCTTGCAAGTGTAGAAGGAGGTGAAAATCTGAGGTCCTGGCAGATGTTACGGAAACAGGAGAGGAACTTTTTGAATGGGGGGAAGGTGGGGCGCTGAGGAATTACCAGAGGATGATTTGCACATGGGTGCTCACCGGCACGACTTGCAGCCAGGTGATTTTAGGCTGAGTTCACGGCTCAGGGGACTGGCACATGGCCAGCGGGCAGATCATCCATGAGCACCAGCTGCCTCTAAAGCTCTTGCTTTTCACGAGTCGTTGTTTGACTCTGAGCACTGAAATGACCAGGCATATAGTGAGTGTGTTGTTAGCTATGCTGTGCTTTAGTAAGAAATAGAACCCAGGGAAGGGGCACTTAGCTCCCCTGTAAATTTCAATGAAGAGTGAAGTAAAAGCATGCGCAGATGGGTGGGTAAGCAAAACCTGGGATAGGAGTACAATAAAATGCCAAGCTGCAAAAGAATGTGCTAATTCATACTATAAAATGGCTCATCTTTAAAAAGCACTTTATTTGGTGAAAGAAGCCAGTCACACGTAGTCATGGAGTGTAAGATTCCATTAGTGGGGAATATCTAGAATGCGCAAATTAGGAAGACAGATTAGTGGTTGGCAAAACCTAGCGAGGGACAGAAGGGAGAGTGACTACAGATGGTATGTGACTTCCTTCGGGAATAATGAAAATATTCTTGACTTGTTAATGGTGACAGTAACACAGCTCTCTGGATATAGTACAGCCAACACAAAACCGGTACCCAACCATGGTATCAGGCACATCTTTTTAAACGTGTGTATTGAACTCAGACAGGCTATGTTTTTGCCATCTGTGTGTCCCCTCACTTCCAGAGTCTATCATTACTTCTAAACTGGAAATGAGGGTGGTGTGAGCCTTCAGAAATCATTCTTTGGAACTGGTGCGTACGCGAGTGCTAATTGCTAGCTGCGGGTGTCAGGTTATATGGGAAGAGATGAGGAGTCAATGCAAGTTGAAGGATAGGGGTTATTGAATGGTTTGAGCTTGGCTGGTGGATCTCATTTCTGCACTTACGGAACAGAAAGGCACAGGGCTAGGACTGCCCCGAGTAGGCCTTCAAACCTAGAAGTCAGTTTCTGTGTCACCCCAATTCTTTTTAAGATCAAGGCCAATAATGACAAACTTTTGTGAATGAAGCCAGACATTAATAGAAACTAAGTTAACAATCCTCTTAGGAGACACATTTCTCAAAGAGTGTGTAACTTGAATCGTTCAGTGTGAAGAGTGTTTATCATGGTCATGTTGTGTTCCTATCTGGGTGAGCTTTTAAGACTGGAAATTCTGCCAAGAAGCTGAATATGCATTTTAGAGATGTAAGCATTTGCCCCCAAAACTTAGGGGAATGAAACATGTTAATTCTCTCTGCATGAATCACCCAGTTTCCCCTTGGACAGGGGGAGATTCCCAACCCCTTCACAAAGCAAAAGAAAATCCCTCCCCTCCACAGAAACTGTCCTGGGGTTGGGGGTCAGAGGATTTGACTAGCATTTTGGGACTTGGCATGGCTGTCTTACCAGTGTCTGTGTCTCCTCCTGCAGCGTGGGGACGAGCGGCTGCCGCCACACTCTTCTGCGGCTTCATCATCCTTGTCATCTGTTTCATCCTCTCCTTCTTCGCCCTGTGCGGACCCCAGATGCTCATTTTCCTGAGAGTTATCGGAGGCCTCCTAGCCCTGGCTGGTAAGACAGAGCGACAGCAGATCCTCATTTGTCATCAGTGGCCGTGGGGAGAAATTTCTAGTCCATCTCTGTGGATGTCCATGGAAGACCTCTGGCAGTTATGTTTTCCGATTTGTCCTTGGAAATGGGTCACCAGGGGCACAAGTGTCAGAGGACAGCTGTATTTTAGGAATCTGAGTCACTTTACCTCTGTGCCTCAGATGCTCTTCTCTGAATTCAAATGACAGGAGTTGTCCTCTGTACATTTCTGTCTCTTAAGTATCCCCATCCACTGAAACCTGCCCCAGAGATGAGGGCTGTGTCTGTTTTCAAAGTACAGTAACCTCCAGAGTGGTCACTGATCCTGGCCTCCTGTAAGCTCCATCCTGAAGGGACCTAAATGTCCCTGAACTACTTTACTTGTTGAAGGAACTTTGTGATCTGGTGACAAGGTGGGATAGACCTCGAATCTGCAACATGAACGTGACTCCGGCGTAGGTGACACAATGACTTGGCAGGACATAGGCAGATAGAACCCAGGGCACACCTTTATTAATAGAATGCAAGATCCTGCCTGGGCCTTTAGGAGTAAGGACCATTTGAAGTTCCTGGCAAATACTTGTCAAAGGAACATGATCCCAGCTACCAGTCAGATTCAGAAGTGAAACTGAGTCGCTGGAGAGGTGGCTCAAGCAGTTAAGAGCTCTGGCTCCTCTTCTGGAGAACAGAGGTTCAATTCCCAGCACCCACACGTTGGATCACAACCTTCTGTAACTCCAGTTCCAGAGGGTTCAATGCCCCTTCTGGTTTCCATGACACTGAATGCATGTGGTATGCAATTAGTCATGCAGGCAAAACACCTGTAAAATTGAAAGAAGGTTGCAAAATAAAAAGTAGCAAAACTGGGTTTTCGGAGACCAAAGAAAGTGTTGGTTGATAGCTTATTTCTCAAGACACCAACCAAGGACCAGAAAGAAACCAGGGAAGAACTCCAGCCATGAACTGGGAGAGACAATCTGTGTAGCCAGCACTGGAAGCAGGCCAGGATGTCCTGTGACTACATGGGTCCCGTAAAATCAAGCATGTGCCAGGAGAATGATGGCAGTGCCATGTTATGAGAGGAAGAGAGGGAATAGGAATGGGAGGGGGCATGGGAAGAAGGGAAGAAAGAGAGGGGAAATCGGAGTAAGAGAGGAAGGAGAGGAGGGAGGAAGTGAAGAGAAGCAGGAAAGCACTTTAGTGTCTATCTGTGGTGTTCTAGAGAGAATGTGAGATGGAGGAGCAATGGTGAGGATGAGTAATCCAGATAGGTACTCACCTCATTCACAACGAGTGCACTTGTTTCTACCCGGAGCCTCTGTGTGACACCACTTGGTTCCAGGGATCTCTTCCACTAAGTAGCCAGTCATCTGGTTTGTTAGATACCTCTAGTCACTAAGCATCCTTTTAGAGGCACCATCAGTTAAAGGAGGAAACGTGTCACACGTTGTCACCGTGTGTCCTAGCTGGCTGTGATACTATTACAAACCTTACAAATTAGACTTGGTCAGAAAGTGAAGCCAGAGCAGGAGTTCAGACAGGAACTGGAGGTAGGAACTAAGGCAGAAATCATGGACGAACACTGCTTACTGGTTTTCTCAGTGCTCAGCTGCCCTTGGGAGGCCCCGACACTGGGCCTTTCCATATCAGTCATTAATCAAGAAAATGCCTCACAGACATGCTCACAGGCCAATCAGACAAAGACATTTCTTTCGCTGAGGCTCCCTCCTCCCTAGGAGATTCTGGCTTGTGTTGAGTAGGCAAACACTAACCAGTACTCTGTGTTCATGTACTGGTTCATTTGAACCTCTGTGCATTCCTTCGTGTAGTTATTCATCTGTACCTTCATACTCTGAGCTTATCTGTCCTTCCCTTTAGCTGTGTTTCAGATCATCTCCCTGGTCATCTACCCAGTGAAGTACACACAAACCTTTTCCCTCCATGAAAACCCGGCTGTCAATTACATCTATAACTGGGCCTATGGCTTCGGATGGGCGGCCACCATCATCTTGATTGGCTGTTCCTTCTTCTTCTGCTGCCTCCCCAACTATGAAGATGATCTTCTGGGCAGTGCCAAGCCCAGGTACTTCTACTCATCTGCCTAAAGTTGGAGCGAGACCCCAAGAGTAGCCTTGCTGCAAGATGGGTCCTGAGGAGGAAACTGCTCTCCAAGTCACAAGGAACCTATATTCGGGCAGTGTTCATAGGATCAGAAATGCTGGAATAAATGCTAAAGAAAATGCTTCGTAAATAGTGTTAAGTTTTATGTCCTGTGTATGTAAAAAAGACTTGCTTCTGTTTGCTAATTATACAATAATTTCTCCTTATATCAAATCTTTATCATTTAAACTGCATTTGTTAAAGAGTGTGTGTGTATGTGTGTGAAACTTAAGGTGGAAAAGAGATGGCTTCTGAGACCTAATTATCTGACCAAGCTTTTGTTTTCCATGGTATGACGGATTGTTTCTACTAAGGGCTAAGGAGAAGAGGAGCTACTGATAAAAAAAAATTTCAGTGGCCAAATAGTCTAAAAATGAATGCAAAGAACAAAACAGACTTTTTTGAGGTTTTAGATACATAGAGAGCACAATGCCTTCCTGAATGACATCACTTGTGAGAATTGCTAGTCAGTGCTTTGAACAATTTCTGTCTCGCTAAGCTTTGCGTTGACTTGCTGTGACATGTGGGAAAGTGTTCTAATATGGCCAAAGCAAGTTACAACAGTCAGGCCACTGTCACTACTGAAAATGCTGTAATGAAATTCCCTCCTTTAACGGAATGTAGAGGGGTAGGGTATGGGAAAAAGTCATATTATATCTGTACAGTTTTGTGTCTCAATGTTCAGAACCAGCATGGATGGGATAGGAGGGTGGACTAGGCCTAGTTCATCCTGATTGGTGAATGTGATGAGGTCAGGTAGGAAGGCATAGGAGAGTCACCACTGTCACATCAGTGCCCATCAAACATCCCAAGGAGAAGAAATGTCAGGTCGCCATCTCAGTCCTAACTGGTTTCTACTGACAGACAGCTAGAATAGATTTTAACTGTAACAGAAACCTAAGTATAATTAAAAACCTGGTCTTCCTTGGTAAACAGACTTAAAATGTCTGATATAATACATCCAACTGGAGAATTCAGGAATTAGTTCCTCTGCATAGATATTGTATGGGCTATTGTTATTTTTACCATTTGTACTTACCTAATGGAAACTAGCTTCTTTTATACAGCAGATCACTATTTTGTAAGTTGTGGCAAAGGCAATTGAGGTCTTCATTTCCAGCTTCCCCCAATAAACCAGGTGTTCAAATCCTGTGTCTGCTTTGTAGTTTGTCGCTGTTGTTTCTAACTTTCCATTTTGTGAGGGGAATTACAAATGCTTCAGTGGGTGAGAACAGTAGACAAAATGAAGCTTCATGTCTCACTTTTAAGGGTCTTGGTCTTGTTTAGGTATTCAATTACATTTAAAAAATTCATCCTACAACTTTAATCTTGTATACTGTGGTACATAAGGAACTCATTGTCATAAACTCTTGAAGTAGCTTTCATTGAACACAAATGTATTACATTATTAATTTGTGTTTGGGTTAAAAACAATCAGTTTGTTAGGCTTAAACTTAGATAATTTAGGATACTTGCCAAGTCAGTATCTCTCTGCCCAAACTTGTTTTGTCCCTTTTGTGCATCTTAGATTTGGGTTGACGCTTCCCCTCATCTCAATTATATTTTTTAATGTGTTAGCGAACTCTAAAAGTCTAATGTGTACTACCTCCTCAATGAGCAATACCATGTGTACAGACATCAAACAGTGTCCATCAAACTGTACCAACAGTGACTGACAGATTTACTGTTGGAAGGTTCAGATTCCCAGGATTCATCTGTGTGGGTTAGTTGAAGGGTCACTCATTTCCCTTCTCCTGGTTGTAAGCCAGGATTCATCTGTGTGGGTCCTCTTCCATCCAGGGAGTGGAGGTGGTAGTCACTGTTTTCCCTGCCCACCTTCCCACTCAAGTCTTTCCCCACCACTGGTTAGAAGTTAGCTCTACACAGTGCCTGTAAAGTGTGAGGCAGGGCAGCGGACTGGCCAGCAGAAGGGTAGAAACATTCTGCCTGCCTGCTTCTTTTGGCTGGCTGGTCCTTGGCAGTGAAGCTTCATCTTATGCCTTTTGATTTATGAGGTAAGTATTTCATCATAAATTTAATATGGTCTGGGTGATAATTTACACCATTTTTAAAAAATCTAACTTTTCTGTACCTGGTTTGGTATTTGATCTGGTATTTAGAGCTAAAATCTCCATCTGCCAAAATAATAGCATAGCTACTTCAAGAAAATAGTGGACATAGAAATGAAAAAACTTAAGTCTGTTGTACCAAGAATGACAGATTACGAACTTCTCCAGAACACACACTTTGAGTTTTGACCTATTTGACTTTCTTCTTCCCTTCCTCAACTGGTGACACACTGTATTTTAATGATAAATGGTTTAGGGGAAATACAAGTTAGAGGGGGCAGTGAGCTGATAAGACGTAAGTCTTTCTCCAGAAATACTAACACTGGTTGCAAAGGCACACTGAGTGTCGCTACTTTCTGAATGAAGGTCCTCCAGGTCTCAGAGGTTCTGAGTCCCCATGACAGATCTACTACAATAAACACAAGGAAAAGTCTCAAGAATTCTGGACTGACCTGACTGAGAAGCCACCTAGAGACAAAGAGTGCCTTGCCTGAGATTTCTCATGGCAAGGCTGGGGTAGTTTTCAGTTGCCTAATTATATTGAGTCCCCACCCTTTAAATAAGCAGTGTTAGGTTCTTGGACGATTATCCCATGAACATACTGTGAACAGCCATATGTGCTAAGTGCCACTTGCTATTGACTGTAACAAAGGGGCAATAGGTTGAGGTCCTTTGCTTTCCACATAGGTGTCTGTGCAGGCAGATTAATCCTAGCTCCGAAACCATACACTATGGATGGTCAGAATGGCCGTGAAATCCCATAGGAGACCAGAATCACAATTGGGCTGGGCTTCCTCTAAGTTGCTGAGGGACATTTCTATGAGTTTAATAAATGTGCGTGTTGAGAACCTGCCTTGCTTTCCAAGTTCTCCTGGAAGGACCCATGTGAGTCTGTCCCCCACTGTGGCTCTTGCTGGCTGCGCAGGTGTGGGCAGGTCATTTTCTCAATGTACATTTTCATATGTACAAGGAATTGAGCACAATTCTGTTCACAGGGGTTGCACAATTACTATTTAGTTAATTTACTCAAATGTTCTAGGGGAAGGGAAAAAGGCTAAAGTGAAATTGTGGTTTTTGGTGTTTTGTTTCAAATGCTTTTCTTGAGTAGACAGGGTAGTTAAAAATCACACTACTATGGTGGCAGGATTTTTTTAATTTGCTTATTTGTTTAATAAAAACTAAAATATTATTAAGATGAAACTTTCAACTATGGACTGAAAGCTTTGGATTCAAGGTGCTAGAGTAAAGTAATTCAGTGTATTTCTTCTAGAAGAACAGGAAAAAGCCACAGAAGAGACAGAAGAGTAAACCATATCTCAGGGAATAATCAATAATGAGAGGGTCCTTCTAGCTGACCATACATCTTTATCAAATTTCTAGAAAACGAAAATGGTGACGTTGTCCACAGCAGCAAACACATGCAAGAAACTTCAGTTTATTGGGAAGTGACAGCTGTGACTCTTGGTAAGAGCCAAAGAGATGCCAAGTGCCAAGTGTGGAGGTGGAGAGGAGAGACTGTGTAGGGGCGAGGTAGAATGAAAAAAGGAGGAGAGGGTGGAGGGCATGTGACCAAGTGACTTGTCTGTCCCTTGGGCCTCTGTTAGTTGGCCTGACCTAACACCCACTCCAAATTCTCAGAGTGGGAAGACAGTCCCCAGGTGTTTTACCATAGGTAAAACCCAAGGATACCAATCTGGCTAATTGGCGTACTCTATCATAAGGACTTCCCACATATTAACCATATAAATCCCCCTGGACTCTGCCCTGAGGACTACATTTTTCTTACCTGTTCTGAGAAGAAATAGAAACATGTCACTGGGTGAAGGCCAGACAGCTAGTAAAAAGCAGCAATGACAGTAATAACAAAAGAGTAGAGAATTCTGGGGCAGTGTTTAGTAGGGCGGGGACACCAAATTAGCATTGTGGGAGTGTGTACAAAACTGGCTTTCCTCCCCTTCAATTGCCAAGGCTCCCTTGATCTCTCCTGCTTCACACGAAAACATGGGGAGTCTACCTGGCTCCTATGTTTAGGGCCATGTGATAGAGAAGAGTGAAGGACCAGGTCTGGATGACAGCTGAGACTTCTGGGAATGGTGTGGCTGAGGAAAGCAGCTAAAGGATGTGACTGTAGGAGTGACACACCCAGGACCCCACCTGTGTGCCCACTGTAGCAGTTGAGAATGCTCTCTGTTAGAATGAGTGGTCATCATCCAGCTACCTTTTCAGAGCTCTCCTCTGTGACTGGACCATGTGAGTCACCACTTTGAAGTCTTACACATGTAGCCCCTTTTCCAAAATATCCCATGGGTGTGGTTGAAACTGGTGCACACCATCTTGACTGTCTTAAGTGTTAAGAAGGCACTTAAAGCTCCACTAAAGCTTCTGAATGATGTAATATATATATACATACATATACATATGCATGTAAAGGGGATTTTATATTTGTATATATATACATATATGTATATGTATATATATGTATATATAGCTTTTCTTAAGTGGCAATTTTGATATTATGTATTATCTGATCCTAACTGAAGTACAGTTTAGTTTTAGACATTAGAACCAGAACTATGCATAGACTACATAAAATGGTATGTTTTAATTATCATCTAAGGAGTGCTACGAAGTTTATGTTGCAGAAAACACATCTTATGAACACAGGGTAGCCGTGTAGATGAAATGGAGGACATAAATATAGTTGCATCACAGATGACCATTTTGGATTATTTACATCATAGAATATTCCTGATCAGAATTAGAAGCCTGGGGGGAAAGGTTGCTTTCATTTTCAAGTACATAATGTCAAAATCTTTTTGCATCCAAGTACTCAAGAAGAAAGAAAATGTGCAACCCATATATGGATGGTGTTCAGAGTCTTTGCTTTTTGATCTGAATTTTAGGGGAGCATAGCAAACTTGTTCCAGGGCATAGTATGCTGTTTCTAAATTTCATAATTCTGGGTGGCATCTGGGTGTGTGTGCTGTGGGTGTGGCAGGGAAGTGTAGAATGTACCTCAGGTGTGGGAAAAGACAGCCAAAAGGAGAAATCAAATGACACTCAAGCTCAGTCATGTTGACAATCTTCCTTTGGCATTGTCTGAGCTTCAGTGTTTTCTTTAAGAGCTCATTCTCTTTAGCCCTAGAAATAAGTGAGGAGAGAGAGACAGATACACAGAGATAAACAGACAGACAGAGATGGGCAGATACACACACACACACACACACACAGAGAGAGAGAGAGAGAGAGAGAGAGAGAGAGAGAGAGAGTTTGAAGGTAATTTTCTTATGAAGAAATGGAATCTTGTTGGTTTAAGTGCATAAGGGCGTCTCAACCATAATGAGTCATCACATAATCCTAGCAAATGGTTGTACAATGGTTTGCCCAGCCAGTTTTTCCAGTATAAAGACTCGTGATAATTGAACAACGATTAGCAACTGCTTTCAACTGGGTTGCTCTTAAGAAGGAACACTTACTTACAATAAAAATCCTGAACTTGATCGCTGAAAGTAAATTGGTGTGTGAGGCTTTGCAAGCAATTTCCACGTGCAAATTGGGTTTCAACGATCTCTACACTCTGTTCTGGGATATATTCTTACACTGAAATTTTTCTGTGAAAATCTGTGTTTCTGTATGCTACCCTGCCCAGCTTCTAAGGTCATGCAACATTTTAAGGCCCAAACCTTTCTCAAGAAAAGTGAAACAGAACAACAAAACAAAACAAAACAAAAAAACCCTCCCATCTAATTTTGTAGAAATACAAATTACTAAAGAGAAGCTGACACAGTTAGGGAGTGCTGGTGTTTGCTTGTTTTTTTTTAAACATTTTTAAAAATTTTAAATAGCTTGTTTTACATGTCAATCCCAGTTCCCTCTCCCTCCCCTCCTCCCGCACCCCCCCACCATCCCCCCATCCTCCCACCCTGTTGCCAATTCCTTCTGCATAGGGGATATCTAGAGTCTATCATTTCACTCAGGGTAGGGTCTAGGCACTTCCCTAAGAGTCCAGGCAGAGAGAGCATCCCTCTTTGTGTTATGGACACACGATGTCTGTTAGTATTCGAGGGCTAAACACTGA